CGATATAATCTAAAGAGAGACAGAGGGGGAGGGGGAGAGAGAGAGAGAGAGAGGAAGAGAGATTTAAGATAGCATAAAAATGTAAATTTGGACATCCACAAGCCGGGGAATCCACATCGGGATTGTGTTGACCGAAAATTTTGCGAAATCGTACAAAGATCTATCGAGACGAAAATTGTCAGCCAATTTCAATTGACAATCAATTCAATTGATGAATATCGAAATCACACGTCTAATGCACGTTGTTTTTATTATTTTTTTTTTTATTATTGCCGTAATGTGTTGAAATAGAGTCTGCGAAACATCTAACATACCTTCTGCTCAAAAAGTACCCGGAATTGCTTATTTAAATGGCGCGCGTTTGTAATATTTCAAAGTCCTTTTGTGGTTAGATCGGTACCACTGTACTTAATTAACTCCCATACAGCATTAGAACGTGATCTGTCAATTAGTTTGTTCGTGATAGTTACATATTTATTTATGTCGACTTCAGGTACCAGTTTACGATGACGAATATTGTGGAATAGAAAGTTTGCCTTAAGTTTGCCTTAAGTTTTCAACGAAATTTCTTGCATCGATGTGTTAGGTTAGGTTGTTGACAATTCTATAGAAAACATATAGCGGTAACTGTATCTCAAAAACATAGGTTTACGAGTGGTGTAAATTGTTCAAGGAGGGTCGTACAACCGTCGAAGACTTGCCTCGTTCTGGTCGCCCATCCATGCCAAATACCGACGGAAGCGTTAAAAGAATAAAGAAATTAGTACTTGAAAATCGCCGTGTGAGAGTGAAAGGGAGATTGTAAGCCGAACTTAATCAAACGGCTGTGCCCATACCATACCAGACCGAAGACAACTCATGGATTTTGCGTCACGATAATGCACCACCGCACACATTGCTTCTCGTATATAACTATTTGGCCAAACATCGACTAACTACCTTGGCCAAATTTCGACTAATATCATTCCGCAAGCACTGTACTCGCCAGATATAGCCCTGTGACTTTCTTCTCTTGCCAAAACTCAAATTCTTCCGCTTCGTGGTTTTGAGATGACTGAGACAGTAAAAGAGAATTCGCTGAAGCAACTCAAGGCCGTACCAGAATCGACCTGTGAAAAGTTGAAGATTGGTCGATTCCGCTGCGTTCGATGCGCAATCAGAATTTTTGCCGAACCCCAGTCAGAACCATAACGTTGATTCGACGTCGATTTGACGTTAAAATGGTCGATGAAACGTTGAATTCAATATTAATTCAACCTTCATCGACGTCGAATCAACGTTGTGGTTCTGACTGGGACGTGTTATCACCGAGAAGAAGACGTGACGAAAGATGCCTTCAAGTAGCGGCCTACACGTCCACTTCGGTCAATTCGAACAATTTGAAGTTTACGCGAATTCAAGAGACAAAATTGGCCGCGCGTTGACTAACAAGTCTGCTTGAGGAGAGTGACGACGAAGAATGTGAGATAACGGACGCGAGAGAACCGGCAAGGCTCGCAAATCGTGAGGATAGAAGAGATACATGAACGTGTGAGACGCGACAACGGCCGCCTTGCACAACAACTGCCCTTGTCAACGTCACACCTGCTCGTTCCGCTTCGTCGACGTCGCCCGGCGAAAGCCGACAATGGAACAATAGTTGCGCTCCAGCTCGGTGCGACGTAGTAAAACTCGCGGAATTGTGAAAGACGCGGGACGGAGATTAAAGCGAGGATTAAAATGTTCGCTACTCGAAAGCAGCGAGCGACCAAGTAGAGGTCCGCGCGGACCGGTATGATAGCGCGCTGTGACAAATCGCCCTTCTCGATTGAACACGTGGGAGCACTCGTCGGGCGAATTTGTACGGCGATCAAGTACCTCCCGGACGAGGATGACGGCAAACCAGCGTGAAGGAGGATATCTACGATTGCGCCCGCGCGAGCGCCGGGCCGATGCTCCTTTCTTTCACGGCGACGAGCGAGACCGTGTTTGCTCTCGTCGGCCCTTCAACGAGCAAATCGAACCCATCGAGTTTCAATCGTCCCACGCTTGCTTTGTCACTCGGACGAGTGTCACCGATAACTTACAGCCGCGCAAGCCCATCCTACGTTTTCCGCGCCGTCGCGCGTAATTTCAATGCTTTTTGCAACAGGACACGACACCTCGTAACATTATCCGCGCTTAAGCGCTGAAACCCAGCCAAAGTCCCTAGCCGCGGTGATTTTCCCGTTGAAATCTGGCGAGTCCCTTTACGCGCGTACCTACGAGCTTTTTCAGACGAGCGCTCCATCACCGACGAGAGAAAGTTCAAAAAGCAAGTGACGAATGGATACAACGTACACACAAGAGTCCATTGACGCAGTCACCCTTCCCGGCCCTCATTCCCTAAGCATAGAGACATCAAACATTTCCAATCAGGCGCATCATGTCTGAATATTCGTGCATCATGGTTACGGATTTACATGGACTGACTCTACAGAAAAGGCTACGAAGATTACATCGGGAAAGAGGCTGGTCTGTGCCACGGGCGCGTTCGATCCTTGTCCAGCTTCATTCTTACTGGAGAAAGCTAGACGAAGACGGAGCATGCCCGCGGACAATGGAAAGCGAATATAGCTGTCCTCTGTACGTCTTGCCCTCAAATCTCTCGCATAAGAAAGCGCAGCCTACGTGTATAAGTCTGCAATTATGACTGTTGATTAACCTGCTCGACCTAACCTAACCTAACCTAACCTAACGTTACGTTATGTTTCCTTTATTACGATAGCTTTAAGGCATCCGAGAGAGATTGTCCGTAAGCATTGCTTTTTCTTCTTCTTCTTCTTCTTCTTCTTCTTCTTCTTGCTAGAAATAGCTAACGGACACTCGGAGTAATCGGCATTGTGTACATTTTTCGCGCACGCCGTACTGCTTAAATGTAAAACTATCAAACTGACAGATGGTAACAGATTGGCCGTTTTGAAGTGTCGTTTCCAATTCGCCGAATAATCAATAGTCTTGCCGCACGAATATTCAAACATGATACGCCAGATTGGAGATTGCCGATGTCACTACGCCCGGAGAGTAAAAGCGCATTAATGGAGTCTTGAGTGTAACAGGCATTCAATCTTTGTCTGACTTTATTCTATACCGAAGAGAGCTAGATAGCATGCTTATAGACAATGAATGGAAGGAAAATACAGCTGTCCTTTATTTACCTTGTCTCAAAATCTCGCTCATAAAAGAGTATAATTTGTATACGGGATATTTCAAAAGCTTATGGCTTAAGGAACGTATAAAGGGGTTAGAATGTAACAACTTTCGATTAAAAATTTAAGTTCTCCGAAGAAATGCTGAATCAGTACAGGCTGTACTGTAATATTTGAATGTACGGAACTCGAATAATATACGTATCAATAAAATAATCGTAACTTACTACTCTTCCATATTAGCTTTATTTTGTTTGGGTGAGGTTTTGTTGAGGATTACATCAGCTTGCAAACTATTCACGCTGTTGAATGCTGAGTTAGTACAAGTCTCTGAATGTAGGAAACTCTCATAATAGATTGCTAACATAATCGTACTTTGCGCGAAGGCGCAACATGGATTGTTTATAAGTTATGACGGTGATTTTCGGCCGCCCTCGGTAAGCCTCTGGACTCGCGAATAATAAGCACACGCAAAAGGTACAAAAGCAGCAGAATGTTGTTCGACGATGCATCGAATGTTAAGATCGCCAATTCGAACAGCTTTTGTAAATTCAATTTGTAAGCTAATGTAATCCTTAACAGAACCTTAACAGAAACAAAATAAAGCTAATGAGAAAGTGGCAAGTTACAATTATTTCATTGGTATATTATCCGAGTTCCATATATTTAAAGTCCCGCGTTCAAGATTACTTCGGAAAAAAAATAAATTCCTAATCGAACGTTGTCTCGTTTTTTAACTCCTCCCCCTTACAATCTTTAACGCATGAGTATACTATCTTGAACCCTTGAAATCCTGAGCCCTTTTTACATCCCTGTATACAAGCCCTGTGTACATCTATAATCACACATAACAGTTGGTTAACTTGTTTAATCTTGTTTATTTACGTTGTTAAGTTTTCTTTTATTACGATAACTTTTGGACATCCGGGAGATTGTCTACAGACGTTATTTCCTGTTGGAAAGAAGACATTCGGAATAATCAACACTACGTACATCTTCCGCGCCACAGAGATTAAACGTAAAACTCGTAAACTGACAAATGCCGGTGGCCGGTCGGCTGTTTTGAAATATCGCCGTCGATTCGGCGATTAATCAATAATCATGCCACGCGAAAATTGGCGGTTGTAAATTTTCGACGTCACCATACCCAAAAAGAAAGACTGCGTGAATGAAATTTCGCGTGCAATAAGCAAAGAAGAAAATCGTGTGTGTACAACAAACCTGCATTCTTGTGAAAGAGGAGAATCGCAAAGTGTTAGATAAAATAAGCGAAAAAGGAAGATAAATATTAATATCAGTAGCAACCTCATCGATTTCAATGACCTTGACATATATCGTCAAGGACATGACTCTGACTAACTTGCAAAAAGTTTAAACCGTCGCTCATCGTCTATTAAAAAGTTATCAACAACAGAAATTTCACAAATAGATTCTGTTTTTTGCGACACAGTGTACGTTAAAAAGTATTAAACAATACATATCGGTGTTTCCAATAACGCCTGCCATATGCAAAAATGTATTGTAAAATTGGGTCAGATTAAGTTAAGCTAGGTTTTCTTTGGGGCGGGAGTGCAAGGGAAGGGCCGGAGTCCCTCACCCGCTCATACGTACTGTTTTAATATATACAGTGTCCGAAAAGTAGCTTCCACTTTGCGAAACTTCTTTTGTCAATAACTTTAGAGCGAACAATGTGCGACCGCTGGCACCTTTGACAAATTAGTGGCAAGGCCATGACCTCGACAACATATATCAAGGTCGTTGAAATCAGTGTGAGACCGCTATTGATTCAGTAAATATTAATATTTACTGAACAGGATCGAAAAGAGTACTCACTGATTGAGCGTCCGATCGTTGCTGCCGGTGGTCGCTGAACCCTGCACCCCAGAAGCGGCGGCGGCGGCGGCGGTGGACCCCGAGTCGTGATGTCGGCGTTCCTTGTGGACGATGCCCATAAGCTTCATCCACGGGTTGTTGGCCGCATGGGTGCCCATGCCGCCGCTCTGCCACATTGCGCTCGCCAGCCTCGCTCCTTACGCAGGAGCCCGGCTCGGGCTCCGACTTGTCTTCGAACCTGGCCGCGAGCGGCCCACCACCAGCAGGACTAACGTCGTCGTCGTCCTCCTCCTCCTCCTCCTCCTCCTCCTCCTCCTTCTCCTTCGCTTCGTCCTGTCCCGTCGGAGCGGCCTCCTCCAGCTGCTCGCTCTTCGCGCTTCGTCCGTTCCGCGCGGCGAGCTCAAGGGCACGTCCTCGGTCCTCTTCGCGACTCGTCTCAAGGACGCAACGGGTGGGCCCGAGCGGAACGCGCGGCTCGCTGCCACGATCCTTCGGGACTCTGCCGAGCTGAGCCACAGAGGGGACCTCTACGTCCTCGCGGGGGCCCGCACGGCGCAGCTGCAGCTGCGCTGGCCCTGGGTAGGTGCGAGGTGCCCTGCGCGGCCCCGTAGGCTCCCTAGCCCGGCCCCCGAGCACCTCCACCATCTAATCCTTCGTTTCGTCACAAGGCTTTGCCGGCCCCGTACCCCCCGCCCGTGCACCGCCACCCTTCGTTGTAGCTGCACCTGCGTTCTCCTGCGACGGCCGAACTCTCGCTGCGACGCGCGAGACGTCGCCGTCGCCGTCGTCGTCGTATTCGGGCAGCTGCTCGATCCGCCGGCAGACGCGGTTCTTCTTCCTCCTTCCTAGCGAATGTCGGACTATCGCTGGCTGGACGAAGGAGACGAAGCGGGCGAGTTTAATGTCGACGGCGGTGGGGGCGAGAAGTTTGCGCGGGCGGGAATTAAATTCTTCCGCGAGTTCCTCAGCGCGCGCGTATAGAGATATGGATGGGATTGCTTCTCTTTTGCCTCGGATCCTTATTGGATCCTGCTCGATCGCTCATGTTTTATTGAATAACGTGTCGCGCTGTTCGGCTGTTACGTGTCGGGACGAAACGACGTAGCCCGAGATAGGTCCGTTCGAATATTTTTATGTCACCTGGCTATTTGCTTCCCCCGCGCCGATTGACAGACGCCGATAATTATTTATTAGAGCAATCGACGACGAGCCGGCGGACGCGGATACGTAAACACATCCGCTTCCTCGTCGGAGACCGAATTCTTAATTAAAATTAAGATTCGACCGGGGCTGCAACGAGCCGTTTTCCAGAGTCGCTCGTTCTTTAAAAATTTACACGAAAGCGTCGTGAAAATAGCGAGCCAATCTCGGGGAAGGGTCTTTTCAAATCGAAAGAAAAATCTAATTATCTTCCCTTTCTCACGGGAGACATCGCGCGTTGTTCTAATGCAAAGGAGGATCGCGAAGGGCAGCTCGCCGGCATTACCTTATAAACAAGGGCACTCGCGATCGCACGTATTTCCCAAACGATATTCCCTCGTAGCGCGAGCTAAAGGCATATCCAATTAGCGAGCAGATTTACAGCATCTCATCCCTTTTATGCTATCTCGATAATTATGGCAGATAGAAAAATTTTTAAACAAAAATTGTATGGCATAAGAAAACGTACAATTTTTGTTTCAACCTTTTTTACCCTACCTGCAATAGTTATCGAGATAGCATAGAGCATAGAGGGGATGAAACTTTGAAGGGCAGTTTCACCCCTTAAACCTGAACCACTGCCGATAAAAAAAAATATGGGTCTCTTATTTTTGGCTACTCTACAAATGTGCCAAGTTTCGTCAAAATCGGACACACACACTTCGCGGATGTTCCTTGTCAATTTCGTGGAATTTTCGCACTCTCCGCACTATCGTCGGCAATTAATTCGCCCGACAGATGTCACGCAAGATGCGTAAAAAAAAAGCCGTAAAAAGTCGAGTCTAAATGCTTAAATAATTAAAATTTACTGTGCAACGCGTAAACGAGCTCGCAGGAAACAATTCGACTCGGCGAGCAGGGGCTAACCAGTCGACCGCTCGCGAGAACGGCACGGAGGGAAGCAGAGTGCGAAAAATAAATATTTATCCAGCGACGCGAGATACTTAGTTCCTGTAACGACGCGCTATTAATAAAGGCGCTATCGCGGGGGAACGAGGCTAAGCCGGAAAAAAACGGTTGCAGCGGAGGGAAAAATGGAATTACTTCCACCCTCTCGAGGGGCGTCACGCGCCGGCCGCCCGATGCAAAGAAGATGCATGGGAACGATTTCCGAGATTATTTCGCGGACGTGCTTGTAATCATAATTACAGGCCGGATATCCGAGATGTAATTACAGCGACACGATATACCGTCGGAGTCATATCGGCGTTTCGATCAATGGAGGACGACTCGAGTCGATTTCATCGGCGCGGGCCGATAGCGAACGGATCGCGCAAAGCGGCAGCGAGCAGTCTCGAGAAATTTCCATGCACGTGCGATGCCCCCGGAAGGAGCAAAATGAAGAAACGGTAAGAAGGGACAGGACGCATCCGCGACAATAATTGCGAGAAATGTAAAAGCGAGGCAAAGTCTGCCGCGCGAATTGGCAAAGGGATATTGACTAGCCTCTAATCAAGAGCGCCGTGAGTTCAAATACACAATGCGCGCGCGCGCGACTTCTAATGCACAACGGCGGCTCGGTGTTTTTCATCGGCCGCGAGGAGTTAAAGAGGCGTGCGCTTCAAAGGGCCGAATGCGCTTCAAAGAGGCAAAAAGATTAAAAAAATATAAAATGCCCATAGCGCTTGCATGTCGGCCGGCGCGCGTGTGCCAGCTGCATAAGAACCGCAAACAGTCCACTATCGATCCTCTTAAAAATATCTGCAAATTGGCGTGGTAATGGCCGAGGCCTATGTCTCTGTCTCCCTCTCTTTTTTCTCTTCCTCCCTCTCCCCCCCCCCCCCGCCACCGGAGACAGACAAGTCGCAGCGCTCTGGATGCGTTAACATTATCGAACACATTTTCGTCGCCAGCTCGCCAACACGACGCGGCTGTGGCAAGACTTTCGCGTCTGGGATGGTGAGAGACTCCACGGAACTATCGCGCGCACACGACGCACACACATACACGCACTTGTGCACGCAGGAGGAAAGAGGGGAGAGCTCCAGGGGGGAAGCGCTAGGCGTGAGGCGACTGCGATAAATTAAGCATCGAGATACAACGCAGAAGTAACGCGTCCCGGTGCGATTCAAAGGGTAAAAGTTTACCGCGACCTTTCCCGGTGCTTCGTTCGAGAAGGTTCCTCGTGTAAAAATAACGGCCAAAATAAATCTCTGTCGGTGGGCGAGGGAAGGGTGGCAGGGAGGGAGGGGGGGGGGGATTCGTACTTTGCGAACTCGCGGTCGTCGGTTCGGCTCGCGAAGCGCGCGTGATTTGACTTTCATCGCGCGCATATATATATATATATATATATACAGCCGCAACGATACCCCCGCGTCCGACAACCGCAGGATCTGCCGCGTCTCAGGAGCAGCGACGTGCGCGCGCGAGTCCGTCTTCCGTCGCGGGCTTTCGCGCGTTTCCCGTTGCGAGAGTAGTCGCGCGCAACGCTGTCGGCCAACGGCTGCCGTCATGCCGCATGGAGCAGCGCACTGCGTGCACTCTCCTCCGCAGAGCGCGCGCCAGAGAGAGAGAGAGAGAGAGAGAGAGAGAGAGAGAGGAGCGATCTGAAAAATGAAGATAAAGCCGACGCGCGCGCTGCGCAATCCTCCGGCCGTCCTGCGCAAATTCCAGGATACCGCCGCGACATGTTCGCCCTCCTCCTCCTCCTCCTCCTCCTGCTCCCGCCCTTCCTTCTCCTGCTGTTCCTCCTCCGTCCTTCGCCGCCCCCTTTCTCACCTCACTGCCGGATCAATGCACCCCTGCAGGTGCAGCCGACGACGGCGTTCGCGGCTGCCGAGGAGCACAGCCGCACACTGCACTTTCGCTCGCTTCCACAGCGAGCGCGCGGAAGGCGGAAGGGCCGCGAAGGGCCCGATCTTCACGGTGGGCCCCTCTCGCGCGAAGTTGGACCTGCGAGCGGAATCGCGGCTCGCCGCTCGTGTTCCTCAGCCGGCTAGGCGACGACGGCCCCGCAGTCGTCGCGTCGCATCTCGCTGCACAGCCGCGAAAAAGCACGTCACACGGAACTTTCACGCGCGCGCGCGATTTTTCTCATTCTCGCCCCCATTGACGGAGCACCGCGCGCTGCCACCCTCCGGACCCGTCCCTCCCGCCCGCGCTTCCCGATTTCCCGGCGGCGCGACCTCCTGTCGTTTATACTGGCGTCAAGCCAGTTGACGTAGATGCGGCGCGAGAGGCCGGCACGTATGCACGACGTAAGACGCGACGCGACGCGACGCGACGTTAATCCGATGGAACGACTTACTACTTAGCCGAGGCCGAGACGCGGGCGATAATTTAGGACGGGCCACGCGGCGATCGGTCAATTAGACGGAAGCGAGAGGCCGCGCGCGCGCGCGACAGGAAGCGAGGCCTCGTCGTCACACACACACACACACACACACATTCGTCGGAGCGTCGTCGCCGAACGTGGGAGCGTACAGAGCGAGCTGAACCGAGTACACTCGCTCTCTTCCTGCCGAGTGAACATCCTTCGAACGAGACAGACGAGACTCGCCCGTTCGCGCGCGAACATTCGCAGGTTATAAGATACAGCTGTGTCTCGATTGCCCCGCGGACTCGCCTACGGCGAGGAGAGGTCGAGAGAGGAGCGAGCCGTCGAATTCTCGGGCTCCGTGCTGCTGAGACTTCCAACGACGACGATGCGACTTTCCCGACTGCTCGTCGTCCACGTGAACGATTCGAAAATTCCCCGCACCGGGGGGACTGTTTAACCGCGCTCCGTGATCCCTACGGAGCCCTCGGAGCTCGGAAACGCTCGTTGCGCAAAAGCGAGCGCGCTTAAATTCAACGGACGAAAATCACGTAGACGAAAATCGAGCGAGCGGACGAGCACTCCGGCGACAGAGCCGCGCCGTGAGACCGAGAACCGGTCAATCGGTTCACACCCGGTGCGCGGTCGGCTCGACGACGGAAGTCCTGCGCTTCCTCTCCGCTCGCGATCACCTGCCCGTCCGAACTGGTTGAACGCTCTCTCTCTCTCTCTCTCTCTCTCTCTCTCTCGCAGGGAAAAGCGAGAGACCACGCGCGCACTCCTCGCTCGTGCACGAGCATCGAACCTGGACGTACCCATCGCCGACACCACGGCACGGTGGCAGCCAATGAGATCGCGCGATCTCAGCCGCATTGGCGGTGCGTGAGAGAGCTCGCGGACAGGGGAAGAGCACACGCGGCACCCCCGCTTTTTGGCGGCGCGGCCGCGTTATCCCATGAGATCCTACGGTGAATTTGATCCGTCGCGATCGATCGATCCGCGAAGACGTGAACGAGAAGCGGGCGAGAGAGAGAGAGAGAGAGAGAGAGAGAGAGAGAGAGAGAGAGCGCGGTCGAGACTCAGGTCATGATCGGTCGGAAGCCGTTGAGCGCGCCGCCGCGAAGCTGCGGAATTAGCTGCACGATCGCGATTGGGAGCCTCGTAAAACCGGACGGCCCTCATGAATCCCCAATGAGTCCCGGAGCGTGTACGGAGCGGATCCGTAACATCTTCCTGAGGCTCGAGAGAACGAGCCCGATTAGAAGCGAGCCGACGAGCCGGAAGTTCACGCCAGCGATGAGCCCGGCTGATTGCGGGCGGCTGATTCGAACGCCGCGCTGCTGGCTCCTTTAATCCGACGTTATTTACCGCCGCCGCCGCGTTAATCTACGGCGCGCGTTTTACGGCGCGCTTTACCGAATCGTGACCGAGGTCCGATAATCGATGAGATAACCGAGTGAGCACTCGGTGAGCGCTGAGTCGAACGGCACTGTCATTCGATCGCGGAAGGCCGGAAGTGCCGAAGCGCCAGGAGACGCCAGGAGAAGCGCCACGTGATCGAATCTGATTATCCGACCCGATTATCGGGACAAGTGCTGTCGGATTTTCGAACAACGACGTAGCGCCTTCTCGTGTGTGTAATAATAAACTTTCGTCACACTGATGTGCACACACGCACGAGATATACACGCACGCATACACACACACACACACACGCACACACATACACACACACACACACACGCACACGCACACAGCCGGCTAAGCGAGATCGGACAGACGGATCTCGCGTCGGAGGTCGTCAGAATCAGTCACGCGTACGCGGGCAGCCGCAGTCGAAGTCCTCGTGAACTTTCGACCTCGAAGACTCTCTACCCTCCTCTTGCTGACTTTCGACTCAGCGCGAGAATCTTCTCTCCGCGTCGGACATCCGTGAAATTTCCGCGCGTGGCCCCGAGCACATTTCCGAACCGCTCGCTCGATTTTCATATCCTGCCGAAAACTCCTGCCCGGAAGGAGGCCTTCGCTAAGGCGTCTCGTTCATTCCGACGAGTCAGCGACACGTCGACACGCTCGAGAGGAAGGATATTCAACGGCGATCGTATCGAAACGATACCTCGAAGAGGAACTTCTAGCGGACCCAACGTGAATCGGAACCCAA